GAAGCACGAACTACACAAAAGAGCTGAAGACAACAGAGCTTACGCACACTTTCGGTGGTGGTAATACCGTACTAAAGTACAACAATGAACTGTTGAGTTCCATGATTTTCTCTCCATTTTCTTGTTTTACGTGGTGTTTCAGCAGAGAAATCGCTGCTTGGTTGAAATGCTGAATGATCTTACTTTGTAAACTCAAAAGTATAGGTCATGGAGGACAAGTCTACAGATACTTTTTTGTCACCAGAAAGCCCTTCCCTATTGAGCATAAAGTAATGTGTAAGAAGTTTGTAGTCAATTTAATCATTTCCTCTTCCTTCATCGTTGTTGTCATTTGGTTTTTATTTTATTGTCATGTTTGACTTCCGCTTTTCTTCAAGCAATGTATTATATCTGGGTTGACTGTATTTCGGTCGTGAATTTTAAATGCTTAAAAGCGGTAACAAGTTATAGCTTTTTTGGCAGTTCGATGGTCCATTTTAGTGGCAGTAGCATGTACGTTTTTCTTCCAATGGCTCATCAGTGCGTTTTATCGCCGAATTATTTTAGTGGCAGTAGTATGTACGTTTTTCGTCCACTGGCTCATTGTGTTGATCTTATCGGTCAACGGGGAATTTGGGGAATAGGACGTGAAGCGTATGCATTCACTCATGAAACAAAGGTGTCAAATTACTGCTCAACAGAGACACTTTCCGCTGTGTCTAGTCGCATGTCGAGTGTATGTAAGTTGACGACTAGGGAAGTTCTTACACATTTTCCACACTTGCTCTCTGATTTTCTCTCTTTTGTTTCCTGTCATTCCTTGTAACCTTTTTGGTATCCTTAATTGAATAATCAAGAACAGGGAGGACCACTGAAGATCATATTTTGCTCATTTTGGACAAGCTTGTGCCATTTCACTATCCAAAACGAGTTACTCCCAAAAACGGATCAATATTCCGTAACGGTGATTCTTTTTTAAGGGAAAGTACATGGATGAGGCATGTCTGAACGATTTGCTGCCCAACAGTTACATTGTGTGGGCCTGGGCTTACGCCAGGGTATGTGGCAGTTTCAGTTTACCACATTATCGGCAAGCGGTTGGGGCCATATATTGCAGCTGAAATCTCTTCGGCAATTACTTTTGTTTTCATCAAGCTAAATCATTAAAATTTATTTTGTCATTCTCATTGCCATAAGTTTTCAATTTAAGATCAATAGCTTTGCAACACAGACAAGTCGACGTTCGCGTGAAAGTTGCGGGAAGGAAACATGCAATATGATAATTTTCGGATGTCCATACGTGTTAAAGCTTGTAACATACAGTTCCTTTTGGACCTTAGCTCTCTGTCGTCAACAATAACTGCGAATGCAGTTGAATTTACACGCATCTTAAAAACTTCTTGTTTTAATATCAGAGCTATATTTGAATGTGAATTTATTTAACTACAATCTGAACTACCGGATGCTTCTTCGACATCCTGAAAGGAGTTAATTAACCATGTCTTTCTAGGAAATTCTCTCTCATGATTCAGCGAGTTTATATTATCACGCAGCTAGTAAAAATTATTCATCTATTGCCCTGTTTCCCCACTTAACGTCGGTTGAAAATTTTGTATGCCTTAGCTGCAACTGATCAATTAGCAAACAATATTTCACCAAAGTTTAAGCGCAGTTAAGAGCTGGAGTAAGTCCTGATAGCTTATTTTGTCACATTTTAATATAAAACGAAAAGTAGGATAATAATCACGGAAATAGCTTGAGTGATAAATTGTTCGAAAAGGAAAGTGACCACAGCGCATTTTCTTTAAGCGAGTGTATCTACCTAAAATTAACTTCTAAGCGCCAATAAGTAGACCATATGTATAAAGCGAAAGAAGGAAGACCGAGATAGCGGCCTGAAGGAGACACTTTACTACTTACAACTCCTTCGTTTTGACCAAAAATCATTCCTCTAAATTCTGGTGAACTAACTGAAAATATGACGTAATCTCCTCTTTTGAATCGAGCTAAATCTAGACAAAAGTTTGCAGTATGTTAGTAACGGCCTGAAGAAAATAGAGGAGAGACCGTGAATTCAGCAGTTGTAAAATGAAAGTGCGTTGAATAACGTTCGCAGTAGATGGCTACTAAGCGACAAGATCCAAATTTGTAATAAAAAAAGAATAAAATATGTTTGTGACAGTTCAATTCCACAGCATCATTAACCATTCAACTTTGAGCTTTCGGTGAAATTTCGAGCGTGTTTGGTTTTGATTTCGGTTTAGCCAGCACATGCCCTGTTAGTTCTCGGCAATAAGTTTTGGTACAGATCGTTTGTTAATTGCTCACATTTTGCGCGATGCTCACCTTGCACCAATTGCTATAGAACTTTGACTAACAGCATTGAACTGTTTCATGTTATATTTTATAACTATAATGTGTAGTAAATGTATTTTGAAACCATTTTAAACACTACCGTTCAAACGAATTTTACCGATGAGATTCAAACGCCGTGTTAACACTGAAACTCAGTCACTCTCACAGTTGTTGCTAACAAGATATTTCGGCTGGCCCAACGCTCAGGCTGGACCAAACATTAAAACAGTCAGTTACTCTAATTGTACATACGTGTATATGTTGAGCACAAACCTGAAGTTTGCACTACTCCATCTGTCCTAGAAGGTCCCATATACGTATTATTTCATGAACATGATTGAAAGACATCCAGCCGTGCAGTTTTTTTGCATCTTGCATCACTTTTGCAGATTTGAGAAGCTTATCCTTCGTTAGCTTCTCGGGATGAGCCATTTCATTTCTTTTGTTCTGGATCTCTTTCATTGTTCTGGGATGTTTGGCGTTATTCCAGCTTAGTTTCGTTTTCAATTCCTCCCATCTCTTACTCGCCTGATGTTGATCTTCTCCCTCTCTTAATGCAATGTCTTCTTCGATGAATTTCACTTTGTAAGAACAATGTTCATCATAACCGTCTGGAAGTACTTTCTGGTACATCATCGCTTGCACTCGCGAGCACATTTGACCAAGAAGAATGCAAGCGCTATCAAGAGAATCAGGCGAAGACAGGCTTCTTCCATAAGACTGCAATGGTTGCATATTTTCCTGGAATTCCTTTTTCCATTTCTTGTATTCTTCTTCTTTTCGTTTGTCCTCCTCCGTCATTCTCTGAATTTTCTTCGACAGTCTCTCCACGTCTAGTTTCAGTTTATTATAGTTTTCCTCGCTTTTCTCGAGTGCTTTCTTCGCATCTTGCCATTCCCTCTGGAAGACGTCCGACGAACGCTTGAAAGATTTCAGTTCATTTTTAAGCTCTCTGATCTTATCTTTCAGGTCATCCCTTTCTTTGTCCCTGGCTTCCAAGGAAATCTTTATCTTCTCGTTTTGGTCTTTCAAATCTCTGACTTTCCTTGTTAGGACAATTATTTCTTTACCCTTCGTCTCCAATGAAACCTTCAAATCCTCGATTTCTTTGGCTCTCTCGTTGTTTTGGTCTCTTAAATCCTCAACTTCCCTTTTCACGGCTGTTATTTCTTTATCCTTCAACTCCAATGAGTTCTTCAAATCCTTGATTTCTTTCCTCTTCTCATTGTTTTGGTCTTTTAAATCTTCAAATTCGAGTTCGACATTTTGTAGCTTCTTTTCCAAAATTTTCTTCTCGGTTTCTAGTTTATGAACTTTGTCCTTCAGAGCTTCAATTTCATGGTTCTTAGACTCCAAGGTAATCTTTAAGTCGTCGTTTTGAGCCTGTAAATCGTTAAAATCTTGCTTTAGCCTTGACAGCGTCTTGTCCCTCTCTTCTATTTCCTTCTTGAGAGACTCGATTTGCCTGGTGTGGTTCTCTACTGTCTCTGGGTCGGGGTTCAGCGTTCCTCCTATGAATCCGAGCATAGTTGAATTTTCCACAATTGCATCCATCTTGTTACCAGCTTTAATTTCGTTTCCTCGACACAACTCTTACTGAACTTTCGGTAATGGTGTGTCCGTAGAGCACGCAGTTGGCTAGTTGTACCTTTTTAATCGTTATGACGTGTTCTTCTCTAATAACGTTAATGCGCATGTTTATGATACAGTTACCACTGACACGGAGTTTGGGGTGTGGGTGTTGTTAATTCTACCCCAGGTTTCTGCCCTGTAACGTGATATTTTAAAAATTAAAGATTTTCCCTACGGTGGCTCAATTTGCTGCTCTGCAACATAATACTACAGGAGTAAATGACATGATATTTCGTCTGGTTTCGAAAGGATGATCATGTGTCTGAAAATAATTTTTAAGATTCAAAATATTAGCTACTATATTTAGGGCTTCAATTTATTGAGTGTATGCTCCTTGGCAGAACTCATGGGGAGCACTCAGTCAGATTGTGCTTAAAAAGCGCGTTAAGGCTCTCCATTAAAAGGCGGTTATTGATTATATTAGACGTTGCATGTAGTCTGCGTGTGTGTGTTTCTTTTTTTTGTTTTTGTTTTGCTTCTCGAAGCTGAGAAGGCTGATTAAACATTCCATAAAACACTTTGAAATTTAACAGTGTTCTGAAAGGGTTCCTGTACTGATCACGTCCTTTATGATACCTCCAAAAGTGAGAGAGAAGATTTGGAAACGCGGAGCTAGTACCCCACAACACAACACGAGGAGAGTATAATTGGAGAGTATAATTGCTTACAACCAAGACGTCTTTCCCACCACCACTCGCAGGCCGTCCGTTAGTGTACATGTTTTTACGAAAGTGGGTTGAATTATATGTATTTCCGACTTCCTTTGGCAACCACAACCACAACCTCAGCCAGCACTTTTACTTGCCATTTTTCTGGCACGCCCGCTTTTGCTTTTCCTGCTCTGAAATATGATATTTTGAAAGTTTAGATATCCATTATTGATCCCAAGCTTTGTGCTCTGAAACACAATACTTTGAAAGTGTGATTTCTTAGTTGTCCCAAAGTTTTTTTCTCTAAACAAATATTTCCGAGGTATAATCAGAGACGTGTTAAGAACTTTCTAGACCTATATCCTTTAAAAAAAAAAAAGGTGAAAGTCTTGAAATCGTAAATGCCCCTTTCCAGGACTCACAGGATTGACTTCTTTCCTCCGCATCTTTCGGCTTCTTCTATTTCTTTTTGTTGTGTTTGCGTGTTTGTTTGTATATTTATCGCTCTGACGACGGTTAACGCTCGAAACATCAGCCTTTAAATTATTTACGATTTTCTGTAATGTGGTCTTAGCTCATATCAAACCTTGGGCTGACGGTCTATTATTTTAAATTGAAAGGAATGATAAAAATTTCAATAAAACAACTTCAAATTCAATCGACAACAACCTGTGCCATGAAAGTGTTAGTATTGGGGTCACATGAAGGACTCTTCTTCTAATTTTCTCTAAGTTTGAAATTGCGATTGAGAAGCTGGGGCAAAAACTTCACAACCCGTCACGAACAAAGTCTAAGTTGCGCATAATCTCAGGAACATCGGCCCTTTAATTGGCGACTATATATATCTAAAATGTGGTGAAAATTATATCATTTACTTTTTTCCTACATTTTGTGCGCACGCTTTCCGCAAATCTCCACTACGAGCCGAGCAGAGTCAACAAATATCAAATCTACTAATCTAAAATAAATAATTACGCAAAACGCTTCACGTTGAAGTCAAACATGATGTAAACACTTTACAGCGACTCTAGGGTAATAGGCTATTAATTTGTTTTAAAAACACTATTGTGAAATAAACATAGACAGGAAACAGCTGAGGCAAAACGAGTTATCGTCATTCCACAGTCAGTGTTATGAGTTTACTTCACTTTTGCGATGTTGAAATTAACAAAAATCTCAAGCCAAAGGGAAAATTTCATTCTACTTAATTGCCCAAATTAGTAATTTTGATTAGCGTTGAAAGAGCGACAGGGGGGTTCCAATCACACATCACGCTAAATTTTTCTATTAAATCACGCATCACGGAGAATTTTTTAACCAATCACGCTTCACGTAAAAAGGAGTAAATACGCTGACTTAGCACTATATGATTTCAACCTATCGGATGTAAGATTAAAAATGATATTGCATCCAACCTTTTTTTTTATCCTGGAATGAATTGCGTTTCACTTGTCATATTGCTTTCTTTAGACAAATAAAGACGACTTACTTGGTGAAACCAATATCAAATCGTACTTTATAAGTATCGAACACTAAAAACAAATTAAAGAATCAGAATATTTAACACAAGAGTTAAGCTTATTCAAGTTGCTTCGTTGAGTATCCTCTTCATCCAATGGCTTGTTGTTTGCCTCACCTTCGAAGTTCTGTTCACGAATATTTTTTATTTTTTCAATTCAACATCTGAGGTGTTCGTGTGGGCATCATAGTCACCACAGTTTGTTGTTTAATAAGTCAGGTGTAGTTTTGACACTTCTTTCGTAGTTTGAACTTATATATGGCTTATTAGTTATCTCGCGTGAACTAGAATGAACTTTGCTAGTTTTTAGCCATCTTTCAATTTGCGGCCACTCTTGGCTCTTAGAGCTTGCGTACGAATTGAGTAGACGTCTAAGCCACCTTTATTATTGTAATAGTGTAGTTTGATCGTCCGGGTGGGTGTAGTTCTGAGAAGGACTGTTGTCGGTAATGGTGACTGACGTTTTGACAACCTGAGCATCAGAGTCAAGTGAAAGGTTGTTGTCAGTCGAATGTACCTAGTCCGGTTTGTGTAAACTGATTGGTCAGTTTTGCCGTGATGTTATTGGCTGTAAGATTCAAGTGGCGTAGGTCAGTCGTGATTGGTCGGTTTGGATCTGTTAGTGAAGTTAGATCGTGCTATTCGGTTCGTTTGTAATGTTAATGTCGTGAACGAGTCGTTTGTATGGTGTCAGTGGTGGAATACTTGTAAAAAGCGATTTCACATCATCATTGATGTTAGTCAAAGACAAAGACGAACCGAGGAACACACAAGGAGCAGTATATTCGATCAATTGCTCCGACTGCCACGCCTCCTATATCGGTGAGACTGGCAGAGACCTCACAA